AGCGAGCAGCTCGTCGTTCCAGGGAGGGCCAGGGAGGGATGGGGGCCCTTGCCGAGGGGAGGGGGGGTTAGAAGGGAGAGGGGGCAGGGAGAGGGGCGGGGGAGGAAGGCCAGGTGCGCTCGCGCCACACCAGACGCCCTGACCCCTCCCGCCCCGTCACTTCCCATTGCGCTGAGTTCGTGTGCATCCGCCAGCTGGGGCGCCCTGGAGAACCTTGATCCCCCAAGAAGACCCGATCGTGAGATGCACGATCAGAACGGGGTCTCTGCAGATTGGACGAATAGGAGTTGGCGGACGAGCAGCCCAAATGAGCAGTATGGAGAGGATAGAGGGAAGGGCAGGAGATCAGCACGAAGGCAACGGGTCATGGGGGAAAAGTGGCCTGGAAACTCTGCGACGCTGTGGCTCTGTGGGGTCCCTCCACGGGCCCTGGAACCCTCAGCGAACGACTCCTGATGAAGAGCTGGTGCTGGGGAAGCCCTCGGGGTCACGACTCATTTCCCTCAGGACCCATGTCCATCATACAGTGGGTGGGAGCTGGTCCACAAGAGACCTTCCACAAGAAACCCAACCCTGAGACCCCAGGACGTCCATCGATTTCTGGAGTGGGAGCGTCATGCCTTCCATAGCGACACCATCAAGAAACCCAGGGCACCCCGGAGGCAAGCAGGGTGTTTTTTTGGCATGGGCCTCCAACTGCAGCGAGGGAGGGAGGGGGGGACCGTAGAGGACAGTGCTTTGCACGCCCAGGTGACGGGCACGACGCCAAGCACGAAGGTGGCCCAAAGCCGGCAGCGGCCGCTCTTGGGCGGGCGAGGCCTCGAGCCAGGCGCACGTCGCCCACGGCGAGTTCCAAGACGAGCCCCGCCCAGAGCGGACGCAAGAACTGCTGCTGGCCCTCGTGCCCAGTGGCTCCGTCCCCATTTCGGCAGACGCTGGTGAGCGTTTTCTCGGGTCGGGCGAAAGGGGGGGGGATAGCAAAGGCGGGGGTTGAGAAGCAGCTCACGTAGCTGATTTTCCCAGCGCCTCCCGGCGCCGGATGCGCTTATGTATCGAGGAATGGGCCCCTCGGTGGGGCCGAAACCAGCTGCATGCAGCGAGTTTCGTAACCCCGCCCTTTCCCGATCCCCCCCTTTCGTCCGGCCCGATTTTCCTATTCGGCGTTGGGCGAAAGGGAGGGGGGGGAAGGGGGGCGGTCCGGCTCCAGACCTCTCCTCTCAGTGCGACCGCTTGCCGCAGTGCGCCCCCATCTGGGGGAGGCTCCGCCCGCCTGCCCGACACGGGCGCCGGCACACAGCCGAGACCCACTCTCCACGGGGGCGGCGGCGGTGCGGGGGGCTGCGAGGGCCCGCGCCGACCGGCAAACCAGGAGATGAGAACACGATCACCAACACCCCCGCGAGCCCTGAACCCGACGCTCCGGGATGCTCCGTTGCGTCGGCCCGCGAGTCCTGGGAGCCCTCGGCCCCTGCCGATGGGGGGCTGGCCTCTCGCTGCGCCTCTCGCCCCGGGCTCGTCGCCCGAGGGCCCAGCTCTCCGACGGGAGCCGGCCCCTTCGGAGGCCGCTCGTGCGAAGAGAGAGAGAGAGAGAGAGAGATCCGCCGCCACGGCTGCTCGAGCGGGTGGAGGCGGGGGCCTCGGGAGCCTCGCAGTCGGCCCCTGCACACTGGAGGGGAAGAACAGGGGGACCCTGACCAAGACTGAGCGCGAAGACGCCGTGTCGGTCTTGGCCTCCGTCCACCTTGGTCGGCGTGAGGTCGTGGATCATGCTCGAGGATCGGCCACGGCCCACGTGGACCATGGCCAAGATCGGCATCGACAGGACCCCGCGAAATCTGGGTCGCGGTCCCCGTGCTTCTTCCCTCGGCACGTGTCCTGGTGGCGCTCCGACCAGAATCTCGAGGCGGGGCCCGCCGTGCGGCCTCCTCCACCCACTGTGCGCGGCGGAACAGCTCCGACCGCTCGGCCACACGAAGAGTGGCCCTGGGTCAGAGCGGCCCGACCTTTGGTGCGCGGCACTTTGGGGGCCGCGCGGGGGCCAGCGCACAAGCGCGCAAGACGCCACTGCTGGGCGAGCAACGACATATGTACATGTACGCCCTCCGCGGTCTTGCCTGCACGTACGTCCGCGTTGACACGCACTCCAGGGGAAGCTAACCGCGTACGTGTACATATGTTGCTGGCCTCTGAACTGCCGCCTCGCGCTCGGCGATTGGGGGACACCAGTGGGCCCACACCATCTTGCCATCGCTCGGACGTCCTTTCCCCGCGCAGTTGTCGGCTTCGTGCGTGCTTCTCTTGCTGGGTGATCCAGGATGCTCCTCCATGGTCCTCGCCAGCAGAGAATGCACACGTCCGAGCGATGCCAAGCGTACGCCTAGTCGAGTCGTTCCCTTCAACTGGACCCTGCCCGGGCCAATCTCAAGGCCCTCGAGTCCCAGAGGCAAGACGGCGAGGAGGTCCACCACGAGGGGCCAGGAGGCGCGCCCCCCGAAACCTCGAAACCCCGAAAGCCTCGAGCATCAAACGCCTCGGCACTCCTCGATCCCCTCGGAAGAGGGCCGCCCCGTCCCGGCCCCTGGCCACCGCGGCGGCGGCCCGCGGCGACGACCCGCGGCGGCGGCGGCGGCGGCGGCCGCGGCCGCGGAGGCGGCGGCGGCGGCGGCGGCCCGCGGCGGCGGAGGGGCCCGCCGTCCTTGGCCATGGCCCCTCCGAGCCAGATGCGGGGAGGGGGGAAGGCGGCCGCGCGAGGCCCTTGACGCGGCCCGGCCACGCAGGCCGCGCGAGCAGCGGGGGAGCAGCGAGGGGGAGGGGGCGGCGGCGCGGGGGGCGGCGGCGTGCGTCAAGAAGGGGCCCCTGCCCCACGCGAGTGCGCATATATGCGCGGTGCTGTGGCACGTGGGGGAGGGGGGGGGACAACGCGCCGCGGCACACGGCACGTACGGAGGTGCCCCCGCAGCCAGGGGCGCCCCGGCACAAAAAGGCTTCGACCTGCTACAGGAAGGCGGGGCCGTTGAAGGACCGGCAATCTGGCACAGAAGCGCAGGATGGAAACAGGTCTATAGGGCTAACCAGGGCCCTGACCCGAGCCAGGCTTGGACACAAGGGCGAGGGGAGGGGGGTGGGGGGGGCCATTCTGGGACTACAGGCTGGCCTCGCAAGCGCCCCGAGAGGGCGCGAGGTCCCGGCAGAGAGGAGAGCGGCAGCCACCGACACGACGGCGGCGACGCACGGCGCACGGCGACGGCGAGGACGAGGACGGCAGGCGAGCGAGCGCAGCGACGGCGGAGGACGGCGGCGGCGGCGAGGGGGGAACGGATGGGGATGCGGGGCAGCGGGCAGTTGGAGGGGCAGGAGCCGAGTCCCTTGGAGGCGCCAGGGAGGAGCTGCTGCTGCGTCTGCGGGGGGCCTCCTCCTCCACCTTCTCCGCCTCCTCCTCCTCCTCCTCCTCCTCCTCCTCCTCCTCCTCCTGCTCCTCCTCCTCCTCCCCTTCGTCCTCCTCCCCCTCGCCCTCCACCTCCTTCCCCCCTCCAACTTGTGGTGGTGGTGGTGGTGGAAAACAGGCTCATAGGCTCCGCTCCCAACCCTCGTCGGACCCGCACCGAGGCCTCGTCGGGCCCACGTCCCGCGCCGGATGCAGGAGAGCGCCGCCGCTCGCAGGACAGGCGGGGGGCCCCCCCACGGTTGATGCGGCCTGGGAGGATCGGGAGCGGGAGTGCCAGGGTGGCTCGTTCAGGGCAGGATGCCTGGCCGATGGCGCCTGGGGCGTCGTCGTCGTCGCGGACGTCGTGGTCGTCGTGGACGTCGTGGCCGTCGTGGTCGTCGTGATCGTCGTGGTCGTCGAGGTCGTGATCATGGTCGTGGTCGTGGTCGTCGTCGTCGGGGAGGGGGGAGGCGGTCGCGGAGGGCGGGGGTCGGGAGCGGGAGAGTGCGAGGGCGGAAGCAGTGCATGGGTCACGCCAACGCCAACCCTCGCCAACGCAGGTGCACCAGCCCTCGCCAACGCCTGGCCACGTCCCCCCACCCACCCACCCACTCGCTGGCCCTGTGACTGCTGGCAGCCCCTTCCCGAGGCCACATCCAGGCTCAATTGGACCCCTCCCTCCCTCAACCTTTTTCTCCTCCAACCCCGCTGCTCCCCCCCCTCCCCCTCCCCCTCCACTTCGTCCGCCCTCCTTTTCCTCCTCCTCCTCCTCGTCCTCCTCCTGCTCCTCGTCCTCCTCCTCCTCCTCCAATTCCTGACTCCTCCTTACCTCGTCCTCCCCTACCCCGCCTCCCCCGTCATCGATGTCGAAAACTCGAAAACGTCAAACAACCGCTCGAACCTGAAACCTCGAAGACCTTCTCTCTATCTTGGCACGGTCCGAAGCATACCCTGCGCACGGTCCTGCCGAAGCCTCGACATCGTCAGTTCGATGACTAGGCATCGCCAGGTCGATGCCCAGGCATCACAAGGTCGATGCCTACGCGCCGCTAAGCATTACTCGATGCACGCATCCATGCACGTGATTAGCTGGACGTAGCTGGGCCTAGCTGGGAGTAGCAAATGTCTAGGCTTGCGTGCTTGCGTCGCGGGGTGCCTAGAAAGACCAACGCGGATGCCTGGGCATCAACAGCGGTATGCCTAGGCATCCGCAGGGCTGCCAGGCATGCCAGGCAAGCTTCGGCATGCCACCATGCTGCCCAGGCACGAAGGCTGCGGGGCTGAAGGAGAGAGGGTCGAAAGCAGAAGGAGCGGGCCAACCCGATCTCCGTCCCCCATTCGGGTCCGGCGAAAGGGGGGGATAGCAAATGGGGGGTTTGAGAATCAGCTCACGTAGCTGATTTTCCCGGCGCCTCCCGGCGCCGGAGGCGCCCATGTATCGAGGAATGGGCCCGGCGGCGGGGCCGAAACCAGCTGCATGCAGCAGACTTCGTGGCCCCCCCTTTCCCTATCCCCCCCTTTCGCTCGGCCCGATCCATCCCCCATCCCCCCGATCGACCCCAACTCCGACGCCGCTTTTCGGCCGGCCTCGCCGCGGGCTTTGCCCCGGCGGCGTCTGCCGTTTTGCCCCCCCCGCCAGAGCCGACCGTCAGACCCACTTCGGCGGGCAGGGGAGCTGCGCCTGCGCGATGTTCTCCTCGGCAGGCGGCGCGTGCGCCAAGGAGGAGGAGGAGGAGGAGGAGGAGGAGGAGGAGGAGGAGGGGGAGGAGGAGGAGGAGGAGGAGGAGGAGGAGGAGGAGGAGGAGGAGGAGGAGGAGGAGGAGGAGGAGGAGGAGGAGGAGCGCGCGCGCCGAGCCTTCTCCCGCAGGAGCCGGTGCGACGCCGCCATGCGCCTCACGAGCGGCGGCGCCTCGCGCACCTCGGGGCGGAAGGTGAGCCGCTGGTCCTCGGCGGCCTGCAGCTGCCGGCGGCGCTCGCCGAGCCGCTCCTCCTGCCCGGGCCGGACACACGGGGAGAGTGTGCACACGGGGTGCACACGCGGGCTGGACTTGAGCGTCGTTTTGTTCGTTCTGTGCTCGCTCTGCTCTTCGATCCTTTCGCGCTGCCCGTGCGCCTGTGCCTCCCTGCCGAATCAAAAAAACAGAACACAGCCGAAGTCCAGCAAATCAGCGTTCAGGTCGAGCCCTGTGGCATAAACATAACGAACTCGGAGGACAGCGCGGATTCTACTCGGATCGCCGCTGGGCCCCCTCCCCAAGCCCGCTTCCGGCGCCAGGGGCGGTGCCGGAGGCGCCGCCAGGGGGCCCCAGCGGGAAACTTGCGCGGGAGTGTCGGCACAGTCGAACCCAGTTGTCTGCGTCGCTCGCTCGAAAGGACGCAACATATCACTGGGGTGCGTTATATATATATATATATATATACACATTGTTTATGCATATATATATATATATATATATATATATATATATATTGTAAAAAAAGGAGGGGGCACGACGCGGCCTCCAAGCATCACCCACTCGCAGTGCCGTGCAGAACCGAGCACCAGGTGCCAGACCAGGGAAGGGGACGACGAGGACAGAAGAGGAAGGAGAGAATGCAGCGCGGTGGCCCTGAACGGCTGGGGTGGGCGCCTAGCTCTGAAACCCTGGCGGGGACCCAGATGAACAGAGACCCGGCGAGGAGAGGGAGAGGAGGAGGACTGGAGGAAGAAGGACGGGGCACACGGGTGGACGCCAGCTGCACCCCTGCACCGCTCCTGGCGCCGGGCCCATCCTGGGCCCGGGATCGGCGTGTGCGCCCTCCGGGCCTGGGCACGGAGGTGCACACACTGCCCCTGGGCCCAGCATCGGCCTCGCCAGGATCGGCGGGGGTGGAGGAGGAGGAGGAGGAGGAGGAGGAGGAGGAGGAGGAGGAGGAGGAGGAGGAGGAGGAGGGGGTGTGGATAGTTGGTGCCCTCCAAGGTTGGGCAGTAGAAGGGCGGCCGCGCGCTAGCATTCGAGAAACGCCGCCGAGGAACGAGAGGGCTCTTTTCTGGCCACGGCGAGCCCCGGCCACAGATTTTCTCTCCCAACCTATTGCTGAAGCTGCTCCTCCTCCCCCCCCCTCCTCCTCCTCCCTCCTCCCTCCTCCTCCCTCCTCCCTCCTCCTCCTCCTCCTCCTCCTCCTCCTCCTCCTCCTCCTCCTCCTCCCCCTCCTCCTCCTCCTTCTCCTATTTCAGGTGGAGGCTCCTGGGGCCCGCGGGTGAACAAAAAAAGGTGCACCGGACGCTCGGGAAGCAGTGGGCGGCAGAGAAGGGCGGCACTTTCCCCAAGGCGGCCCACGGCGACAATGAGCAGTCCAGACCTCGCGCTGCGCAACAGAGCACGACGCAGCGGCTTCGGCCATGCTCAGTGCCTGGTGGCCCGTGCTGCGCCCCAAGAGCGTCAGAAAACGAACCGCGAGAATGAAAAGACATACCCTGGGAATGGGTACGGGCCTCTGGAATCCTGGGTTAACGCAAGATTCGCGCGAGGTCTCGGAACACCGCAGACCGACCGACCCGACGCCGCAGGCAGCCTGGAGCAGCGACGCGGCAACGACACAACCGCCCATCGAACCGAACCGTGGAAGTCATTGCTCACCGCTACCGTTAGGTCGAGCATGTCCTTCTTCAGGCGGATGTTGGATGAAACTTTACAAGTAGTCGACAAAATATACAACACAATGAAACAAGACAGGAAAATCGCCCCCTGGTTATCACAATCAGGGGACGACCTTCCTGTGTTGTTCAAGAGGTATACTATAGTATACTATTCAAGAGAAGTCACAATCTGATTTTGTGACTACTCTTGAATAACATTCCTCCTGCAGAGGGGCATGCTCGGCTGAATGCTACCAAAAGGAGCGCTGAATGAGGAACGAGGGGGCCTTTCGGCCCCGGCGAGCCTAGGTCACGCGTAGGTTTCGCGACCTGGAGGTGAGGAGCGACCCGGAAAGCAGAGCGCCTCCTGAGCCCAGTGGTCTCGTTTCAGCGTCTTGACCTAGGTTGCCCCCGTCGTGCTTGAGGACCACATCTCAGAATTCATTTCGAGCACCCAGAAGAGTATCGAAACGGTCTCGAACGAGTATGGCCTCCCAGGGCCCGGCACGTGAAACGCTCCAATGTCTGTAACGGTGCTCGAAGCTCTTCCTGGTGGTCAAGGCTGAGGTAGCTTGGGACATCATAAGTCTTGACTCCAGGGCTTCAGCGACGAAAACGGTAGGTGCGCGTCGTCTCGACCCCGGCATTGGTTCCCGACACCGCCGGGCTCGTTCAACCTGGAACGATCAGCCGTTTCCGAAACGTCAGGTCGTTCAGCATCGACCGCCTGCGGCGTTCAAGGTTGAACGCCAACGGCGGGTTCGCCGCCGGTCGACACGGCGCGAACCTACAGTAACAAGCAACGAACTGTTACTCAGAGTTCAAACATCCACCCTCATAAAAAAACACCCCGACACGCGAAGTCGTTTAGCAAACGCGCCCGAAGAAGGAATCAAACAGGGCAGGGCTGCTTAGTAGACGCCCAGGGCCGTTTAGCAAACGCCAACTGTCGGGTCTGGGTGGCTTTCCTCCCTCGACTTACGGCAGGTTCACATCGCCATGACGTCGGCGCTGGTTTCTGACACCGCGCGGATGGCTCGGCCTTGAGTGCTCGACGCTCTCTGGTTGGCGCACATCGCTCGAGAGCGGCGGATTCCAGACCACGGAACTGGCGGCGGTCCTTGAACGCCCGCCCTGGGATCGCCGCCGCTTCCGCGCGGCGCGAAACTGCTGCACAGAAGGGGCCCTGGGACACACAAATAAATGCACACAAGTAAAAGGATTCCCCATTTTTTTGTTTTTTCATATTTTCTGGGTTTCTGTCTTCCCCACCCCCGCTGCCCACATTTTCCATATTTTCTGGGGAATCGGCGATTCATTGTGTCTGCGTCTGTATTTTTCTCTTCCTGATGCACGCACACACGTTCGGTGGTACGCGCAAGACTCCTTCGGCCGCCGCTGGACCACCCTCGCCACGCGCTCCAGCTGGTGCACTGCGCGCGCTGGCCGACTGAGCGAAGGGGAGCCCCAGACATCCTCTCGAATGCTCATTCTGCCTTCCATCCCCGGCCTCGGAACTCCCGACCCGTTTCCGTGGTGTTGTCGCGCCAGAGATCCGCTTTCGGATCCTCTGACCCGGGTCAATCCAGACCCGGGTCAGCGGGAAACCGAACAACTGCACTGAAGAAAAAAACAAACTGCCCCGCAGGTCTTCGCAAACCCGGGTCAGCCAATATGCGCGGCCGCCTCGCGGCCACGAGCGGCTCGCTCACCCGGGTCAGCCAGAAGGGGTCTTCGCAGGATCCTGCAGGATCCAGTGCCCTGGCAGCCCTGGCAAACAGGGGTCAGCCAGGGCCTGGCTGACCCCTGTTTGCATTGACCCCCGTCTCTCGAGCCCCGACGCTTCCGGCGATCCCGGGGCCCGGCCGCGGGACCCGGAGGCAGCAGGGCTGACAAAGCGTGCAGGCCGGCATCGCGCGCTCCGGTTGGCCCGTGGACGGGCAGATTCCGCAACGTGAGCGCGCGAACCCCCCTCCCGCGAAAAGATGTCATCGGGGGGCAGCCGGAGATTAATCAGTGACCTCTCGGTCTGCAGTCGAATGCTCTGCCCCTGAGCTATACCCCCGACGGTAGCAGCTGGATCCTCGCTGGGCCAGCTGGCCCGTGGATGGGCAGATTCAGCTGCGCGAGCGCGCGAACCTCCCTCCCCAGACACGGAGCTGCGACTGACGCTGATGGGCCTGTTTTCCACCACCACCACTATAAGTTGGAGGGGGAGGGGGTCCTCCTCCTCCTCCTCCTCCTCCTCCTCCTCCTCCTCCTCCTCCTCCTCCTCCTCCTCATCATCATCATCATCATCATCATCATCATCATCCACCTCCTCCTCCTCCTCTTCCTCCTCCTCCTCCTCCTTCCCGTCTCCAGCTTTTGGTGGTGGTGGAAAACAGGCCCATCAGACGCCTCGCAACATCCGCTGGTGAGTTGCCCGTGCGCGCTCTGCGCATCGTGCGCCGGGCGCAGGGCGCGAGAGCTTCCACGAAGCTGTGCCAGGACGAGGGCGAAAGCCCCGGACCCGCAGAAAGCAATTCCCCGTCGACGCCCCGCCGCCACCAGTCGGCGGCGAGCCCAGGTGGGGGGGGAAGTTAGGAGGCAACTACTGGGAGGTTTTCGTCGGAAAAATTAATAATGATTAAGCCCCAGTTGGGAGCTATTACGCCGGAAGGGCCTCGGATTAAGCGGGATTAAACCGGATTAAGCGGCATTAAGCCGGATTAAGCGGGATTAATCAGGATTTGACCTCCCAGGAGTTGCATCCGAAGGGAAGGGTGAGAGGGGGGGCATGCCTCCTCGGAAGGTGGAGGGGCTTCTCAGCAGCCCACGCGTCTCCCGAGAAGCCTTTTTCTGGGAAACCAACAGGTACCGATACCGCCACTCCCCGGACCTCTCGCGGGGTGCGTTCTGACCAGGACTTCGAGGCGAATCCAGCGGCGGCGAAGACGGAGGCCCAGGAGGCCCCAAAAAGAGGAAAACGAGGGGAGGGTAGAGTTATGCGTACCTTTTCCTCCTCTGAGTCCCCGGTTTTCGGCGAAGGCGCCGACGGTCCCCGGTTTTCGGCAAGCTTCTCCCAGAAGGCGCGAGGGCTCCCGCCAAGCCTCGCCGCCCTCTGAGAAGGACCCCGCCCCCCCTCGCTTCCCCCCCCCCCTGGGCTCGCCCCCGCCACCAGAAGCCAACCTCAGGTCGGGCATGTCCCCCTACAGGCGGCAATTGGGCGAAACATAAAAAACTATCAAAAAACACTCACACATAGCCAACATATATGCACATAGCCGTCCCCTGAGGATTTGTTTTAACCAATTTTGAATATTCCTCCTGTAGAGGGACACGCCCGACTTACAGCCCATCTTGTAGGGCAGGGCTGCGACGGCCCATGGCCCGCACCCCAGGCGCGCCCACCAAGGAAGGGCCCGCGCAGACCACCCAAGCGAGCGCGCACCGCGCGGCCTCTCTCAGAGAGCAGAACAAAAACACCCCCCTAAAAACAACCCCGACACGCGACGCCGTTCAGCAAGGGCACCCGAAGAAATAACCAAGCAGGACAGGGCTGTTCAATAAAAACTCCCCAACGGCCGTTTGGCAAACGCCAAAATGGTCGGGCCCGGGTGGTTTTTCCTCCACTGATCCCTCGCCCCCGCCCCGTCAAGGCGCATCGGCAGCAGAAGGGCGAGGAGGACGAAAAGGAGGAGGAGGGAGGAGGAGGAGGAGGAGGAGGAGGAGGAGGAGGAGGAGGAGGAGGAGGAGGAGGAGGAGGAGGAGGAGGAGGGAGGAGGAGGAGGAGGAGGAGGAGGAGGAGGAGGGAGGAGGAGGAGGAGGAGGAGGAGGAGGAGGAGGAGGAGGAGGAGGAGGAGGAGGAGGGAGGAGGAGGAGGAGGAGGAGGAGGAGGAGGAGGAGGAGGAGGAGGAGGAGGAGGGAGGGGAGGAGGAGGAGGAGGGAGGGGGAGGAGGAGGAGGAGGAGGAGGAGGAGGAGGAGGAGGAGGAGGAGGAGGAGGAGGAGGAGGAGGAGGGGGGGGAGGAGGAGGAGGAGGAGGAGGAGGAGGAGGAGGAGGAGGAGGAGGAGGAGGAGGAGGAGGAGGAGGAGGCCCCTGTGCCGCTCTCCTGTCCCCGCCGCTGCTCGGCGATCCGCTCCAGGAGGCCGCCGGGGTCCTCCAGCACGCGCAGGCGTCCACCGATGCCCTGGTAGTCCTGGATGACTTGGAGACGAGGGGCAACGACAGGGTTAAGTCGGGCGTGTCCCCCTACAGGAGATTTTCGACGAACAATTAAAAATACACCAAAAATACCCCAAACTGGTTTAAAAATGCTCCAAAAATGGTCCCCAGACTATTTTTGGATTATTTTTGGACTATTTTTGATGTATTTTTTTGATGTTTCGTAGAAAATCCCCCTGTAGGGGGACAGGCCCGACTTAACGACAGGGGGGGACTGGCATGGGGGGGATGCATCGGCTTGGAATCGGCGACACATCGCCGATAGATCGGCGATAGGCCCCGATAGTGAACCCACACCTTCCTGTGCAGGTTGGGGCTATGGGGCCCCTATCAGCGATCAGTGGGCGATTGGGGGTCGATGCACCACCCGCTATGCCCATCCCACCCTATCGTTGCCCCCGAGAAAAGCAACTCACGGGACAAGACGGAGCTAGGACGAGGATGAGATCGGGTGAGGCTAGATCGAGAATATCTGAGATCTGGCGGCTCTGGAGGATGAAGCCTTATCGGAGCGTTCCAGAGCGCTCTGAGAAGCTTCTAGTCGTCCCGATAGCGCTCATTAGCGCGCCCAATCGCGCGCAAGGCGGGCATCATGCATTTCCCTTACACGGCGCTACTGGGCGTCAGAAATCGCAAAGCTAGGCTGCTCGAGTGCTACTTGGCCGCACCGTATTGGGCGCTGTTGTGCGCCATTTGGCACTATGCGCCGACACCACACATTCAATCAAAGACGAGCGGAACCTTCCGTCATCTACGATTTGAAGCGCAGACAGGACGGCATGGATGTGCACACGTTTGGAGGTCCTCGTGGAATTCCTGCCTCGGCGCCGGAGCCCCGGCCCTGGCGCGCGGGAGCGCATCCGGGGTGGCGCTGGAGGCGCCGCCACGGAGGCGAAGCGCCGACTTTTGGGGGCAGTCCGGGGCCCGTGCACGGGAGGGCCGTCCAAGAAGGGGGGGGTGTCGGAAAGCATGACCCGCGGCGTCTGCGCGGCCCACAGTGGGGCCTGTAGGGACGCCTGGCAACAGGAAGGCGGGCCGTGGGAGATGCCACGGCCCCGCCCTGAGAGCCACACCAACTACAGCCGTCATCCCCCTCCTGGCAGGTCCGGGAATCCACGCGGGCCTCCTGATAGTTCTGGGGGGGCCTTTTTGTGGGCACGCCTGAGATTGATGCGGCTGAAATGGGCACAGTCCCTAACAGCACACGTTGCCCGAACCCGACAGCGGCCGCGGGCGCCGTCGGCGGCGACAACCGACAGCGACTCCTGTCCAAATTGGGCAAGATTTGCTGCTGGTTTACCGACGTTGATCCTCCATAGCCGGCGCCGTCAGGGTCGCCATGCGCCGCCATGGCCTTCATATCGTCGTGCGTCGTGGCCGCCATGGCATCACAGCGTCACGGCCGTCATGCGACGGCCATGGCGCCGGCCATCAGGGCCATCATGCGCCATGACGCTGGCCGCCATTGCGAGGCCAATTTGTCTACACCACCACCGCCCGCAACAGTAATTTTCCGCAAAACGGGTTAGGGGCAGGGTCATGCCAGACGACGCTGCGATGCTCGATCTTGGTGGTGGTAGTCAGATACTGTGCTCGGAGCCACGGCCCCCGTGTCGTCACGGCCTCGTGGCCGACATGCGCCAGTCGTGAGGCCGCGACGGCTGCCTTGTGCTCCTCATCCGCGGGTCCGTGACGTGCGGGGCGAAGGCCGGCACCTCGGCCCGCGTCTCCGCCTCCTCGAGGGACAGCGATCGGGGGGGACTGTGGCACAGGGGGGGGACACACGGACATGGAGCCAGCGGTCCGATACATCGGCGACAGACCCACGACGCCGAATCCGCACATTCTGTAGCAGGTGAGCGTTCTCTGATTCGGCGCTTCGACATGTGGCTGAGGGGAGGGAGGGGGGGGTCTTGCTCCGGATTTGGACGAGTGCGTCCTCTGGGGGAGAGGCTCCACCCGCTTGAAACAGGCACCAAAAACAGCTAAGATCTACTCCATGGGGGGAGTAGGGGGGGTGCGAGGGCCCGCGCCGATCGGCAAAGCCATGAATACAAACAACGACCACTGTCTGGCCACTATCGGCGATCAATTGCCGATTGGCGGTCGATGCATCCCCTCTATGCCTATCCCCCCCTACAGTGGGGGCCGGTCCACAAGAAACCTTCCACAGGAAACCCAATCTTGAGACCCCAGGACGTCTATTGGTTTTTGGTGTGGGAACGTCACGCCTTCCATCGCAAAACCATCGACACCCAATACACCCAGGGTACCCTGGAGACAAGCAGGGTGTTTCTTGGCATGGGCCCCCACTGTATGGCCATCTCCCCCTCTTATCGTTGCCCCCGGCTCTTGGCGCAGCCGCGCCGTTCGCTCGGCCCTGCGCTGGGCCTCGCCGGTGCTCATCTGCTCGGGCCCCTGTCCGGAGGAGGACGAGCCGAGGCGGCGGCAGCTCCTCCTCCTCCTCCCCCTCCTCCTCCTCCTCCTCCTCCTCCTCCTCCTCCTCTTCCTCCTCCTCGCTTCATCCTCCTCCTCCTCCTCCTCAACATGCTCCTCCTCCTCCTCAACAAGCTCCTCCTCCTCCTCCTCCTCCTCCTCCTCCTCCTCTTCCTCCTACGGTGACGCAGGGCACGTTCACACACGGGGATTCAGACAAACCACACCGGGGGATGTGGCAAACAAAGCGGATGTGTGTTTTTGTTCGTGAGCGTTTTCGTATTCGGCGTTTCGGCATTGGGCGGAAAGGGGGGGATGGGGTCCGCTTCCGGACCTCTGCTCAATGCGACTGTTCGCAGCAGTGCGTCCCGTGGGGAAAACTTCACCTGCCTGAAACAGGCGCCAAAGCAGCCAAGATCTACTCCATGGGGGGGGAGGGGGGGTGCGAGGGCCCGCGCCGATAGGCAAAACACTGCATTCAAAAACGATTACTTTCGCATCCCCATGTGCGTGCTTACGCATCCCCAGACTAGAGGCGTCCTTCATGAGGCCCGAACCCATGGGGTCGGAGGATAGCGCCGCGTCGGCGATGCATCGGTGACGTCGACGATGCATCGGCACCGTCGGCGTGAAGAAACCCGGGCTCCACATCGAACCGCATCGACGATCCTCCGACGACATCTGCTTGGACCCCATCTGGGAGGCCTCGACAGAGTCCAGACGCACCAGTTTGCCGAGCTGCGCCCAGCCGTGGTGGCGAGGGGCCCCCCCGAAGGCAGAATATCGTTGTCTCCGCCCTCCTCTGACTTTTTGAGCAGGGATCCACGATCCTGGCACTCCTGTTGGCCTACCACGGGATGCTCTTATAGCAAACGTATGTTCTCATAACAATAGCAGCGGCCTTAGAAACATAAAGCGGGTTGCCTGGAACAGGACTGCCTCAACCAGCATATGCTCTGGGGAGCACCCCGTGCAAGCCACCAGAGAGGACCTCAGAGCACTCTTTGGTGGGCCTGCAGGCGAGTCAGGACGCTTCACCATTGCTTAGGTGCCTCCAGGATGTGCTCCGAGTAGACGGGCTCGAAGGACTGCACCGAATCGGCCATGCATCGGCGATGCATTGGCGATGCATCGGCGACGTCGACGATGCATCGGCGACGCCGACGTGAAGCAACTCGGGCTCCACATCGCGGCGCGTCGCCGGCAATGCGGCGCGACCCTCCGACCCCATCTGCCCGGAGCCCACCCGGGAGGCCTGGACTGCCCGCATTCGGTCGGGCACTTGCTCCATCCTCCTCAACGATACGCTTCTTTTCGTATATATACACGTTTATATTTATACATATATATATATATGAATATTTATTTATATTTATATATATATATGCGTCTATACATATAGAAATAAAAAAGACAACGATCGTCCCCATACTGTGTTTGGACTATTCGTGGACAGTCCTCCTGTAGAGGGACGTGCCCGACCCGACGCTTCCGCCTTGGGCTCCCGGCCGCGCGACGCGTCGCAGATGCGGGGCGCGAACGGCGGGCCCTCGCCCGACGCGGCGCTGCGCGGGGCCTCCGCGGGCCGCGACCCGGAGCCGCCGCTCGAACCCGCGGCGGTGGAGCCGCCGCCGCAGGACTCCCACGGGTCCCAGGTGCCCTCCCCGGCGCGGCGCCTCCGCCTCTGCCGGGAGCGGCCAAGAAGGAGGAGGAGGAGGAGGGGAAGGCCGAGGAGGAGGAGGAGGAGGAGGAGGCGGCGGAGGAGGAGGGAGGAGGGAGGAGGAGGAGGAGGAAGAGGAGGAGGAGGAGGAGGAGGAGGTGGAGGAGGACGATGAGGAGGAGGGGGGGGCGTCCAAGGGGGGGCGGCACAAGTCGTGGCTGGCGGCACGTGCGCGGCCCAGGGAGGGGGGGGGCCAGGGGCGCAACGAAGTGAGGAGAGGCGCCATGAGATCTGGGGAAGTGTCGTGGCCCACGCCATGAGATCCACTCCCCCTGGTCATCACCCCCCCCCTCTTGGCCGACCCCGACTCTGTGGTGGCGCCCGCGTGGGGGTGGCACGGGAAGGTCGGCCTCCTGACTGTCAAGGGCTAGCCTTAGGTCGGGCACCTATAGTGGGCCCTTGAGACGACAGGTTTTTTTTTCTGTTGCCGGTTCCGTTTTGCCGTTTCCTTGCCTGTTCCGACGCCGTCGTTTTACCGTGTCCTTCGCCGTTTTTGTTGCTGGTTCTGGCTCCAGTTCCAATCCCGGAGCCATGTCTTTGCAGTTTCCAATCGCCGTTTTTGCGCCGTTTCCATGTTCAAAGACACTTTTCTGGAACGGTAAAAACAACGTGCCGGCAACGAGCGTCGCAGCACACGCCATACAAGCGCTTCCGGCTACAGCTAGTGACACCTAGTTACATCTAGTTAACCCCAGTTACGACTAGTTAACCCCAGTTACACCTACTTAACCCCAATTACACATTATTTTCCTGCTACCTCAGTTAACCTCTCCTTCCCTCGGTGACCCCAGTTACGCCATGTCGCAGTCAATCTGAGTAGGACTGCAGGCGTTCCACCCAACCTTTCAGACTTTCCCCCCGGTCTCGCACTTCCGGCAAGAGCGAGCCTCGTCAACACTCCGGTCTTCGTCCTGCTAACATCGCCGAAAACCTGATCGTCGGAATCAAATCCTCCATCCCACTCACCATCTCGAGCCTACTTAGATCTTGGCCAACGCCTCAATTATCGGTTCTCGATGACCCTTCGCCCTCGAAGATCGATCCTAGCCGATGCCAGGGCCCTCGCACCGCGATCTCCGAACCCGTCGAAAAAACCAAAAGGACATTTCTGAACCGAACGAGCTTTGTGTATAGGGATTCCGCCTGCACGAGTCATCGCCGTCGTTGTCGTCCACATTATGATCATCATAATGATCATCGCCGCCGTCGTTGTCGTTGGCGCCGTCACCGTCATCACCATCGTCGGAATCATCACCATCGTCGGCATCAGCACCGTCACCATCACCATCACCATCATCAGCATCAGCATCAGCATCATCATCATCATCAGTAGCATCAGCAGCATCATGATCATCATCATCATAATAAGCATCATCAGCATCATAATCGTCATCAGCAGCAGCACGAGCATTACCACCATCACCATCACCATCATCAGCATCAGCATCAGCATCAACATCATCATCAACATCAACACCATCATCAACATCATCACCACCACCATGATCGTCATCCGTAGCCATTTTAGCTCAAGCTGATTCTCAATAACTTCTGGCAGGCGCGGCGTGCAGTCGGGAGATGCTTGGCAATGGCGACGGGGGGCCGCCCGCAGGCGCACGGGCGGGGCGGCCCCCCGTCGCCATCAGCATCAGCATCAGCATCAGCATCATCAGTATCATCGTTAACAGCATCAGCATCATAATCATCATCAGCAGCAGCAGTATCAGCATTATCAGCATCATCAGCATCATCATCGTCAGCATCATCATCATCAGCATCATCAGCATCATCATCATCATCAGCATCGTCATCATCATCGTCCTCAGCATCCTCAGCATCAGCATCAGCATCATCATCATCATCAGCATCAGCATCATCATCACCATCGTCATCCGTAGCCATTTTGGCTCAAGCTGATTCTCCATAACTTCTCGCAGGCGCGGCGTGCAGTCGGGAGATGCTTGGCAATGCAGGCGCACGGGCGTGGCGGCCCAGCACGCGCAGCACGCAGCGCCCGAAGGCGGCGGCCGCGACGGGGGCGTCCGCGGCGGGGCCCCGCCTGGGGCCGGGAGGCGCCACGGCCTCGGGCGCTGGGCGCTGCGCGGCGGCCTCGAGGCCGCTCGCCGCGAGCTTCGAGGACGACGTCGACGCCATCAAGGAGGACGGCGGCGAGCAGCGGGAGCCTCTGGCCGGCAGGCCGCGGGCGTGGTTGCCCAGGGAGCGCAGGCACCTGCGGAAACTGGGGCTGGCAGCAGTCCTCGGGAGCCCAGACTGGGGCAGTCCCTAAAAGGGGGTAACGGACCTCGGCGCGAGGCCGCAGACATGCGGGTGGCCGAAGCTCTCGACCAGGCTCAGCCTCCACCCTGGGCCGCGGATGCGCGGGTGGCCGGAGCCCCAGGGGAGAGAGGGCCCTCCTCGGCGTCGGGGCGCGGGGACGTCCTCGGGGAGCCCGCGGCTGGGCAGACCCAGAGAAGGGGGGGCGGCGAGCTCTGGACCAAGGCCGCAGACGTGCGGGTGGCCGAAGCCCTTGACCGAGCTCAGCCTCATTTCAGGGCCACGGACGCGCGGGTGGTCGAGGCCCCTGGGATGAGGGCCCCCCCCCCAGCGGCTGGCGTCGGGGCGCGGAGACGTCCTTGGGGAGCCCAGGCAGGGGCAGACCCTAAAGGGAGGGCGAGGCGAGCTCTTGCGCGACGCCGCAGGCGTGCGGGTGGGCGTTTCCCTCGACCGAGCTCAGCCTCAACTCAGGCGGACGCGTGGGTGGTCGAATCCCCTGGGTCGAGCACCCCCTCCCAGGCGTCAGATGTGCGGGTGGTCGAAGCTCCAGGCACTAGGCCCTCCCCTCAGATCGGGGTGAACCAATGAAGGGCCAGCACAAGCGCAAGCTCGGTGTGGATCCCGGCGAGGACGAGAGCCTCTGCAACGACAGACTGGAGGACCAGAAGGGCATGCACAAGCGCAAGTTCGACCTGGACCTGGACGAGGACGGGGGGCTCATAGAGGGCGGGCGGCTGGAGGACCCGAAGGGCCAGTGCAAGCGCGAGGTCGGCCTGGGCCTGGGCGCTGACGTGAGCGTGTGCGAGGACAGGCTGGAGGGCCTGAAGGGCCTGTGCAAGCGCAGGTTTGGCCTGGGTCTGGAAAAGTATGAGAGCCTACGAGAGGGCAACCTGGAGTACGGCGGCCATGGCAGCGGCACAGGCTTCCTGTTTACGGACGAGCTCTTGGAGGCGGGGGCCGCCTCTCGGACCGCCCTCGCAGCGGCCAGCGTCCTTCTGGGGGTCCCACTCGAGGCCCCGTATCAACTCGCGGGCGTCGCGGGCTGAATCGCCATGACTGTTCGGGTGTCGTTTTTCCGCTTGCTTCGGCTGGGGCGGGGGGCGGCTTCTCGGCACACAAGTGAATCTGCGTGGGTGCCTTGGGCACCAGACCGTGCGTTGCCTCCGCAGGGCCATAGGAAAACGCCTCGGTCCGAGAGGCAGTGCGAGCAGGGAGCTCCTGACCCCTTCAGCTGCGTGGATAATCATCATCAGTAACATCAGTAACATCAGTAACATCATCATCATCATCATCATCATCATCATCAGCATCATCATCATCATCGTCGTCATCATAATCATCAGCATCATCATCTACATCATCATGCTCATCATCATCACCACCGTCATCATCATCATCAGCATCATCATCACAACTAGCAGCATCATCATCAGTATCAACATCATCACCATCATGATCATCACAATCATCGTCATCGTCGTCGTCATCATGTTTATCACAGTCAACATCGTCGTCGCCATCGTCGCAAACGTCGTTGTCATCGTCGCCCTGCCAGACTGTCAGATTTGTCGTGGTCGATAGATTCCCCCCCTCCCCATCATCCTCCACCACTTCGTTCAACCCCTAGTATTTGTATCTTCCCTCATCGCGTCATACTCGTTATCGACATCATCGTCACCATCGTCGTTGTCATCGAATTGTTGTCGTCATCGTCATCGCCAGCGATACCGTCATCGTCGTGGTCGTCGTTTTCGTCATCGTCACCGTCGTCATAGCGACCGTCGTCGTCATCGTCATCGTCATCGCCATCGTCGTCGACATCGTCGCCATCGCCGTCGGCATCTAGCCCCGTGGAAAATCCCGCAGGGGAAATTCCGTAGAAAACGACCTCGTTGTACAGAATCGTCCCCCTGTCATCGTCATCGTCTTCGTCGTCGTGAACCCAGTCGGTTGGTTGTGGGTCACTCCTCGGGCCTCTGGCTGCCGCATCTTGGATTTTTGTGCCGCGTCCAGCCGTTGCGACGAGGAGGGCCTGCGAGGGCGAGAAAGCCTTCAAACTGGATCCTCGAAGCTCGAGGTTCGAGGCGATCCTCGATGCACGAGGTTAACTCGACGTGAACTCCGTCGGATTTCGGTTTGTAACTCGGGTTACCGGCGGTCGCACGTCGAGGTTCGAACCTCGAGCCTCGAGGGCTTTCGGCGGCCATCCTCGTCGCCACGGTCGGACGAGGGGTAGGAGGAGAACGAGGATAATCAGGATGATGAGGAAAATGAGGAAGATGGGGGGGGACGAGGGAAAGGAGGAAGACGAGGCTCTTTCTATCTCCTCCTATCGCTCCCACCTCACCTACCACATCCCATCTCCTCCTACTTCCCCGTGCCTCCTACACCCTCCTGCTATTTCTACCTCCTCTCAACTCCTCCGACCTCCTCCCACCTCCTCCCACCCGTCCTACCTGCTATTACTTCATGCCTCCTCCTACGTACGCCCTCCTACGTCCACCTATATTATCCTGTCTCCACTTCGTCCTAATTATTCCTACCTCCTCCTGCCCCCTCCTATATTCTCTTTCAAATTCGTACATCATGACACATCATCATGCGTCCTCTTACGTCATCCTACCACCTCGTCATCGTCGTCGAACGTCTCCATCACCATTATCAACACCATCATCACCATCATCATTCATTCATCATCATCATCATCATCATCATCATCATCATCATCATCATCATCATCATCATCATCATCGTCATCGTCGTCGTCGTAGTCGTCGTAGTCGTCATCACGTCGTCGTCATCATTATCGTCATTCTCATCATTGACGTCGTCAATGTGATCGTCGTCCTGCCAACCCGCCAAATGGCGAGGAAGCTGCCCAACGAAATGCACTGGTGATCGCGAGGGGGCTAGGATGAGAACGAGGAGGGTAAGGGATGATTACGAGGGGACGGGGGGTGACGACGACGACGACCACGACGACAACGATGACCATGGCAACTGATGACGCTGACGATGATCATGATGATGGTAGTGGTGAAATGAAGATGATGACGGCGATGTCGATGTCGAGGACGATGATTACGACGACGATGACAACGACGGAGGGGACGGATGAGGTATCAGGAAGTGGTGTGATATTAAAGGATATATGAAAAGAAAAACGAAGTAGGAAGAGGCAGGGAGAGTCTTGAGGAAGTAGAAGGATGAATGGATAGGAGAAGGTAGGAGGAGGTATGCGGAGGTCGGAGGACGTAGGAGGTATGAGGAAGTAGGAAATAGGAGAAGCTTGGATGGAGGCGGGATGAGGTGGGGCAATGTAAGACTAGGTGCTATGAAAATTGAATGCACGGGAGAATCGAGTGTGACGGAAGGACCATGTAACTGAGGGAAAATGTGTGTAACGAAGGGAAGCTGAAGTTAACTTGGATGAATTAACTAAGGTTGGATGTCAGAAGGCGGGGTTCAATGGAAAGGCGAAATAAGGTGTTGATAACGAGGCGCCGGCTGTTACACTCAGTTCCCCCTCCATTTCCCTCAGTTTCTTGCATCAGGAGAAGATAGAAGTCGTAGGTGAACAGGGCGCAAACTGAGCGCGGGCTCGTCTGTAACTGCGCGGCACTGAGTGCAATTGAGGGGATCCGAGTGTAACTGAAGTTAACTGATGTTAACTGAGGCGTACTGAAGTTAACTGAGGTTAACTGCGGCTAACTGAAGTCAGCCGAAGTTAACTGAGGTCAACTTAAATTAGCTGAGGTCAGTTGAGGTTAACTGAGATTAACTGAGGTTGGCTGAGTGTAGCTGAGGCTAGCTGCTGACGGTGAGAGCCGGCTCTGCCCGACGCCGCGCGCGGCCACAACGAAAACAACGGCAAGGTCGGGCATGTCCTCCAACAGGCGGAAGTTTGGCGAAATCCCACCAGCCCTTTGGGCGTGAGTGGTTTAGAAAGCTCTCTCTGTCCTCAACCCCCCAACCCCCCTTCTTCCCCTTCGGGGAGGGGTTTACCCCTCCCCCTACCCCCTCCCCCTGGGCCTGGGGAGGGCGGGCCGCGCGGGTCGTTGGAGGGGTCTTTTCCGACTCCTGGGAGGGCCAAAAAACGACGACCCTCACGAGGATTCTGCCCCCGACGGGGGGAGTGAGAAAAAATGCTCTCCTCTTCTGTGAAGCCAGAATCCTTGTTTTTACTAGGGTTTTGGCCCCATTTTGGCCTCCCGAAGGGGCCGCGCTCATTTTCCTTCATAGCAAAATCATTGATTTTACGAAGGTTTTGGGCTCATTTTGTCCTTCTCAGGGGGCAGCGCTTCTTTGCGCTTCTGAGGAGGTCGCAAGAGGCCCCAAGATGGCCCCAAGAGGCCCCCAGGAGCCTCCCAAGAGGCCTCCAAGAGGCCCCCAAGAGGCCCCCAAGAGGCCCCAAGAGGCCCCCAAGAGGCCCCCAAGAGGCCCCCAAGACGCCCCCAGAGGCCCCAGGAGGCCCCCAAGAGGCCCCCAAGAGGCCCCCAAGAGGCCCCCAAGAGGCCCCAAGAGGCTCCAAGAGGCCCCCAAGAGGCCCCACGAGGAGCCCGAACGACTCACACCAGGACGAGAGGCCCGAACGACTCACACCACGAAGAGCCCGAACGACTCACACCACAAGGAGGGGCCCGAACGACTCACACCAGGACGAGGCGCCCGAACGACTCACACCACGAGGAGCCCGAACGACTCACACCACGACGCGGGCCCCGAACGACTCACACCACGAGGAGCCCGAACGAGTCACACCAGGAGGAGGGGCCCGAACGACTCACACCAGGATGAGGGGCCCGAACAACTCACACCACGA